CCCCCCCCGAAAAGCAATGGAAAAAATATCCTCGGGTGAGGACTGAAAAAAACAAAAAAAAATGAGAAGGGAAGCGAGTGGTGGCAGGATGAAGGACAGAGGATGGAAGCACCAATTAATCTGGGCCAGTAAGGGCCAGGGCACAGCCCCAGGGAGGGACCTGACCATACTCCTCCCAACCGACAGCTCCTGTGGCACTCATGGCTGAGACGCCAAGCTTGGCAGGGCAGGCAGGTTAGCCGAATGACTTGTGTGAGCTCCTATTTGTCAAGCCCCCTAAAAACTCATCTTTTCTCCTTAGCAGAAATGTCTTTTGGGAATTTTAGGGGTGAGCTGAAGTGGGAAGAAAGTTAAATGGGGGTAAGTTTATTGGAGTAAAATGAACAGACTTTAAGACAGGCAGCTCTGACCTCTCTAGGAAGGTCTGGGAACGGCCTGAGGCACTCGGTGAGATGGGTAGTGGCTGGGTGTGGCAGGGTAGCTTCAGAAAGGTGTGCACTGTTGAGAGATGGAAATCAGGGATGGAAAGAAAGCAATCCTAACTCCTTTCAGCCCTCCCCTTTACAATGGGTGGTGTTTTAACCTAATGTATAAAGTGTCTTGGTCTGGTCCAGGGCTTACTCTACCACACCCTAGTCTGAAAAACTGGGGTAGGATAACTCAGGAACCTGCCCCCACTCCAAGATAAACAGGTACTGTGGGCACAGGCCAGCACCTGACGACCAGGAATGGGTGGAGAGTTGGATTGTCCCTTGTTCCAGATGGAACTGGTCAGTGGGAGAGGGATCTAGAAATGGGGTTGACTCCTCAGGTTTGTCCAGAAGTTTTGAGGTACCCTTGGCAGGCCAAGAGCAGGCACTCCTACTCTTACAGGAACACTCCTATTCAGAAAACCCATTCTAATTAGATTCATACTATGCCATGGTGCTAACCCTTAAGACAAACCTACATTTTACTGATGTAGAATCCAACATTTAAAGTAAAGTGACTTGGCCATAATCACAGTTTTTTAGGGGAAGACCAGCATCCCAAGCCAGGTCTTTAGACACCAACAAGGACATAAAGTATGTAGCAGCACCCTGTCAGGACTAACACTAATGGGCTGCAGCTAGGAGCTTGGGTCAAGGTTACTGCCCTCCACCCCCATGCCACATGAAGGACCCAGCCGACAGCCACATTTGTGTCCAGCCCAACCCTGCCATCCACAGACCGGAGGAGCTAGAACTCAGGTCTCACTCCAAGCATCCTTTCCAAGTGACTAGTGATTTTCTTCGGTTGGAGGTGCCCTTGTCCTTCAAAATTCCTCTACCTAACCCTTAAATGATTGGTTTCCAGGACTCAGTCTGAGACCCTCTTCTTTTCTTCCATGATCTCATCCACCCTCATAGCTTCAAATATTATGTAAGCTTTCTCAGGTTTATATATTCAGCCCAGATCTCTCAGCTGAGCTCCAGATCCATAGTTTTTATCCTTAAGCTCCACCCGGATACAGTGAGTCCTCACTTAACAGCATCAAAATCTTCTTAGAAACTGCAAATTTAAGTGAAACAGTAACGAAATCCATTCTACCATAGACTAGTTGATAGAGAGTTAAGTTCCTACGGCATATTTCTGGTTACAAAAACATCACCAACATCTAAGTAAAGGCCTCAAATACTTCTAACATTAAACATTGAAATAAGTGTGAGCTGTACACACATCTAGGGAAGATAATTCTTTTCCAACCAGCTTATTCCAGTGCAGGGTCATGGTGGCCAGAGCCTCTCCTGGCAGCTCAGGGTGCAAGGCAGGAACCAGCCCTGTACAGGACGCCCTTCCATCGAAGGGCCACCCACACCCACACCCACACCCACACCCACACCCACTCAGACTGGGACAACACAGGCACACTAGTTAATCTCACATGCTCATCTTTGGGATGTGGGTGTGCACAGATGTAGATGGGAACAAAACCAACTCCACCTCTGTGTCCTGGACTTCAATTCATTTCTAAGTTTCATTTTGTGACCTTTGACCAACCCCACTGTCCTTAGCCAGCATATCAAAGCCTTCTGGTTGATGATTATCTGCATTCCTTAAAATGTAGCCATAGTTTTGTTAGTAACTAATGCTTGGAATGGCATGAAAACCGAGATACATATCAAACCAGTGATAGTATCAATTTTAAAGTCATCTATCTCAAGATCACCAGGAGGTATGACCTGAATTATCAAAAAAAAGTACTATGACAGGGCCCTGGGGCAGAGAATCATTCTTGCAGAACTGCTGGGTTGTCTGTCCTCTCTGACCCCACATTCTCATAAGTAAATGACCTCCTAATAAATCTGTTATGTTCTGTGGAGTTGCCTGCTTCGTTTGCTGGTCTGAAGAACCCTACTCATCATTGTGGCCATTACACCTTTGTACTGGCAAATAAGTACTGTCTCAGTTCTCGCAAAGTTACATGTCAAAGTGAAAATTCTCTAGATTTAGGTTGGTTTGTCCAGTGACTTCTTTCATCCCATTCCAAGACTACAGGTCCTTTAAAAGAAGCACTGCAACCACCCTCTTTAACCCGGACAATTGCTCTTGGACTTGAAATTCTATGAACTTGAGATACTTTTACTTGTCTGATTTTATCCCTTGCCTTATATCCCATAGTCTCCGATTATCTATTTCCAATAGACTCAATGAACCTTTTTTTTTTTTTAAACTCAGTGTCTCCACAAGAACCTGCCCACAGCTCCCACAGCTATCTTTGCTCCCTCTCGGACCTACAGATTTCACATTAAGGGCAAATAATGTTGAACCTCCTATTGCACACACAGTGCCACTCTCCTGGGAAGATGCATCTAACAAGAATCACTTTATAGTTTCTCACCTGGGCCTTCTGACTGCTGAATACTCCAGACCTGGGACTAAGCCACATTCACATCTACAGTGCCTGCTTCAGGGGAAAGACAAGCTTTTATAGATGTTTGTAAACAAGGGTTCAGACTTATTTCCCAATCCCTTGCTTCATGACTAAATCCCAGCCCCATGATCCCAAGGGAATAATTTATTTATTGAGAGTGACTGGGCCTTATGGGTTTGGAGTGGCTAGACCACCTCATGGTCCTCTCTCCTGCTCTCTCTTCCCTCCCTGCCTCAGCTCCAGAGCCCCTTCTGATGTCACCATTGAAATACATTAGCTGCAGCTTCCTTGATGGCTGGGAGTGAGCTGGAGTGGGTTGATTCTTGAGGGTTTGGGCTGAAAGCATTTCTGTGAGAAAGTAAGCTAACTCCATGATCATCTCCAGGGGAGTGAGTCAGAACAGAGAGGAGACAGGCTCTGGAGAGAGCAGGTAGAGGCCAGGCAGGAGTGCAGTCTGCTTGCATATTATGGCCCCTTGTAGACTATTTGGGTATGGTCTTTCTGGTTGTCACTGCAGGTGGGAGGCAGACACAATTTCACATAATCACAAAGTATTTTCTTAATAGGATAGCCACTTTGATTTGGCAAAAATTTTTGTTCCTCATTGTTATCTTTTTCAAAATTTATAATTAAGACAATAATGCCCTAGATCATTTTTTTCTCATAAACTTTCACAGAACTTCCAAAAAAAAAAAAAAAAAAAAAGCTGTGGTTTGGAAAACTAGGTGAATTGTGGGAAATCCTAATTTGTTTTACATTTTTAGATGGGACTTTGGTGATTGCCGAAGACAGAAATCACACACATGCGTGGCTTACGCAGTACTCCTTTCTGTTTCTGATCTGTCCCCCTTCGTGGGTAAAGCTGGAAGGTTCATGTGTTTACTCCAGAGCTTCTAAAGTTGAAAACACTGTGTATTTACAGATCATAAACACTTAATAGAAGTTACCAGATTTCCACTATGGAGCTCATTTGCTGAAGGTCTAAAGAAGGGAGGCAAATTCCCAGAACCAGAGTGAACCTCTGAGGCTTTGCAGGTCACACCCATCTCTTCTGCACATTATTCTTCTTTCTTTTTGCTTTTAGTCTTGTAAATTACCTAGGCTTGGAGTCAAAAGGTACCACAGTATAGTTTAAGACTAATGACAAAAAAGTATAATTACTAAACATCTTTTCCCATGAACAAGAGGACTGCTGCTGGCTTACATGGCCCCCTTTGCTTGGAAACTGGAATAAGGTGTGTCCTGAGATGCAACCCTACCAAGGCGCATACCTTGACCAGCTGAGCAGAGGCTAGATTCCAGCCTCCACTACCCGCCTCCTAAACAGCTGCCTTTGTGCAGTGCACAAACTGTAACTAACCATGGTAACCCTGCCTTTATATAAATGTATCGATGTATTAAATATAAACCAGGGATGCAACACTGCCAGAAGTCTTATTTGAAATAGTATCATTTAATACTGTCACCCAGAGAAGGGTAATTTAATGCTGATATATAGACTAGATTATAGCAGATTAGATAAATATACATAATTCTACTATCTTCTAGAAAAATGATTGTGGCACTGGCAAATCAAATGGAAAAAGTTAATAAGCAGATCTGAGGATCACCTAAAAATGGCTAGTTCCTTATTTAGATTCAGTACAACCTATGTTTATTAAATAATTGCTAGCAGAACAAACATCTACCCCAAAATGAAACTAGGAAACCATATATTAACTTGAATAGTTTATCAGTTGGTCACATTGATATATGACTCAGAAACATTAAAAGTATGGTAAGGCTTGACAGTAAACAATGCCCGGTCAGTACATTAAACAGAAATTGATGACAGATTCATGTATTAATGGGTATTAAACAATTTAGCGCTACAAAGAAGAGCCAAAAAGAAACAAGGGCTAATTGTAGAAAGAACTTTGAATTTTTCCTTTTGGGGAAAAACAAGCATGCATGACAATGACATAGCTTATTAGTTCCTTTGCAACTACTATGACACATTTTATATGGCATGAGAAAAACTGGTCTAAAGAGCTCAACTTTCTGGAAGTCAACTCAAAAGATGAATGCAACTAGCATTTTTCGACTTTACAGTATGGAACAGAATTTCTTTTATAACAAACAAAATCATGTAATTTTCCCAAAGGTTTAGGCACTTTGCAGCAGACTGTTCCCAGTCTAGTAAAACTATGAGGAAATAATTTTATAGTGTATTTAGACACAAATCTTATGATTACATCCAACACAAAGAAGTGAGAGATGTCTCAAATCTATAAAATATTTCATTCTGACAAATACACACCAAATCACCATGCAGAGAAGGGCAGTAAGAAGTACTTTGGGATTTCCACTATGGAGCTCATTTGCTGAAGATCTCCCAGAACCAGAGAGGGAACCTTTGAGGCTTTGCAGGTCGTCTTCTTTTTGTATGTTTAAACAATACTGTTAGAATGTATAGAAAAATCATTCTTACTTTGCAGCCCATACAACTGAAGACTGGATTTGGCCTCTGGGCTATAGTTTTACCTACACCTGGTTACATGGGTAACTAAAATATTGTTTCACAGTGACCTGTGACCTTATTTAATCAAGTGTTCAAACCTTTTGACAACTTCCCAAATCAAATTCTAAATGAAGTCTTTTTTTACTTCTGACTTGAGATTTCCTGGAGGGTCCCTGAAAAATCTCAAAAGATTTGTTCTTTTACCTTGTACAAACAACAATGTTGAACTAATTCAATTTGATATGTGAACTTGCATAGCAAGCATTGTCAAATAAGAAGTGATGCTTAACCCTCCCTAGTTTATATTTGTATGGGTGTATATTAATATAAATAGTTCAGAAACGGAATGAAATTTTAGAACCTTTTAGTTTCATAGCTGTCCATATTATTATACCCTGGCATAATGTGATCAGTCATAACTCCAGTTATCTTAAAATGCTGAATGTCACAGAAACAACTAAATTTCCTTGTCAATTGTGTTATAATGAACTCTCATCAGATCTTTAACCATGGTCATTTAAAGCCTTTTGTCATTCACAGATATTTTACTCTGATACTTTTCTGAAAACTCTTGTAAGCAGCTATAGGCTTCATCTTCAACAAAAAAGGACTGTCTGAGAGAATAGCAGGTACTCAGGGGTACAGGCTTCTGACAGGCTTACATAACTTTAAGATCACACCGCTAGACTAAGTAATGATTTCCAGAACTAATGGAGAAGCTCATGGGTTCATAAAACTACTAACCCAAAATTAAGACCTGGATTTATCACATGGAACTGAGTAGACCAATAAAGAATAACTGTTATTTCTTCTATGACTTTTGCTTGGAGTATTGCTGGCTGTTTAATGTCCTATTTTCCAGACTGAAGGAACACCTTTACTCTTAAGCTATCTATGACTTGCAGAATTTAGTAGATTATATCTTTGTAAACAAAAATGAAACATTTACCTTTTCTCCTTGCCCAATTCCTCCAAAATTTGGAAACTCTTATTGAATATTCTTATTTTTATGGCAATAGTTATTTGAATATGTTCAATAAGAATTTGTTCTCCTTGTAACAGGACAGAATTGGAAACACTGATTATATTACCAAGGCTTTGACTAGAATGTAATATTTGAGAAAATGTGCATAGAGTTCTAAGGAACTAAGGTTGACTTAAAGGAGCCAGTGCTTACAAAGCTCTCCTGGAAAACTGGCCTGGCACCCTTACAGGGTTCCCAGCCTTACAGGTAAGGAAGGCCACTCCATGGCAGGCCCAGGAAGCTCAGAACATTGTGGGAACCCTGAGGAGGGATTCATTTAAATCTGCAGGTGCTGCATGTGAAGTCTGATGGTGAGTTCTTGGCTTGGCTCCCCAGCCTCAAGGCTTTAAAAAGTACAGTCTGAGATTCCTAAATAAAAGTTCCAGCAAAACAAACTTTAAGAGGCCTATGTCATCAATTATTATTCTTGTATGTAAACAATCAGGCCAAGTATGATGAGACTAGACTTGTTTTGCAAACAAAAATAGTCTTACCCTGATTATCTTTGATAAAAATGAGGGTGATTATAAAGGGAAATTTTGTTTCAATAGAAAACTAGATTCTAGTCCTGTTCATACTCTTTGAGTTATTTACCTGTTTGTAAGTTGGATCTTGCCATCTTGTGCATTTTGTCAGTGATTAACATTTCCAGTTTTCTTCCACTCCTGACTTGGCATCACTAACAACTAAAACTGCCTTTTTCCTGAAGCCCTGCAAGCTGAAGCTGGACTACTTGTTATAACTGTAAAGGTTTTGTCACTGCCACAGTTCACACCACTCAAGAAGTTCAGCAGAACATAGTTCTCTGAGCTCCAGGAAATAACCATGACTGTGAGGTGGTCACTACCGTCCTCATTCCACCATCTAAAGACACTTCAAGACCAACATCTAGAAATCCTTTTGACTGCCTCCTGGACTCAAAAATTGAGTTTATGATCTGCTCTAACTATTAATTTTTGTTTTCCCTTTTGTTTCTCTGTAAATCTATGTCTTTTCCTTTGCAGATCTCCAACTTCCCATCTTTTAACACAGATTGCTCCACAGCCACCAACTGTTAAACTTCTGATCTGTTAAACTTCTTGGGAGGTTTTAGACAGGGGAAGAAAAGGTGTGCAGAATACACCACTGTGGTACGAGAATTAGTTTGAGCTGAAGGCATGTGGGAATCAGCAATGCAGAAACAAGCCTTTTTTTCTGAAGTTCCTTTATCTGACTAAAAGTAGAATCTCCCAAAAGAACTCAACGGTCATAAATACTCTCCCCTGGGAGTTTCATACTACACCTGAACAGACATTGTCACAAAACTATCATGTCTCCTATCTATTCCCCTAAGGGCCCCTAATCTTTCCTAAATGTCATTTGTTTTCCTGTAAGTGCTCTTTCTCTCCCACCCCTTTCCTTATTAAGTCCCAAATTCTGTCTAGAGTCACATTTTCCCCTTAACTCCCGTGTAGGTATGTGAACAAGAGTCTGCCTTTTCCCTTGCTAATCTGTCATTTGTCAGGCCCCCAACTACTGAATCTGAGGATAGGGGAGAGATTTTTCCTCTCCAATGGGAGAAACTAAGTCCAGTGGCATGCTCACATAAACCTCGGCAATAGTGGCAACTTATTCCCATCCAGCAACTACAGCTACACAGTAAAATAAAAAAGTTTCCTTATTCTTGAAGGAAGTGCAACAATTTAAAAAACAGCACTGAATTTTTCCAGTCAGATAGGTATGGCCATTCTTTTTCTTTTTTTCCATTTTACAGTTCCCCCTGCCCCAGGTGTTTACTTTTAGCCAAATTTTGGTCATTATTTCCAAATGTTTACTACATAGTGAACAAGCTGTAATTTTAGACACTAAAAAACACGACAAAGTAATCAAATTAATTATATTATAGCACTGATATAAGATGTAAGACAGAGGTAGATCTGCAAATTGCCACATAGTTGCAAATTCCAATATAACTGGTTCTCCTTGAAACCTCAGTTTTACACAAATGTTTATCTAGTAGCACATCATAAATCATAGGGTTAAAAGAATTTCTTCTATCATGAAAATGCAGAAAGAGCTAAAACTGTACACTGTTTTTTCAAGAGCAAAGTAATATGAAACACATAAAACTCATAAGAAAACCTTAAATTATTAGACTTTTAGGGGCATTGGCTAAATTTGGAAGGTGTTTGTATTAAAATAGAACTTTGTTTTTGCAGGCATTTAAAGACTTTCATGTATTGTGTACCTGAAATTTTTGGTCTTTTAATTTTCTTTGACTCACACCTCCTCTTCTTAGTATAAGAAAAATCCTTTTAGAGTAGGGAAAGCCCAGATTAACAGTCCTGGAAATTTTGCACTAAGGTCAAACCATAATATTTCACTGAATTCTACTAAACCAAATACCACTGTTTTGGGTCCTCATTTGTAGATTATTCAAATGAATGTTTCTCCTGTTAATGATCAATTTATATAATATCACAAGGATGAAAGAGATCACTTCAGGTGGTGGCAATGTTTCATGAAAGTACCAAGGTGGGGAGGAGTGATCAATCTGATTAACACAACCACTTTTCACCTAATTTTTCCTTAAAAAAAAAATTAATTGCTTTCTATTTTCTGAAGTGAAAATGACAGCATAGGAAAAATATTAAAATGTGCAAGCAAACTGTCTCTTTCATATCTTCATAAAGTATTGTTTTCTAAAATATAATTTGCTATAGGGCTCACAGATGAGCATCTTTCACATCAGGTGATATGCAAAACCATTATTTGCTCAGCAAGAAACAGGTTTGTGTGTGAGTGTGTTTTGTACACTCTAGTTAACAGGAAGTCTTCCAAGAAAATAAAGGGAAGGGAGAGGGGTAGTAATACAACCCTGTAATGCCCACCCAGAATCCTAGAAAGAAAAAACAAAGCCATTGACATAAAGACGATTTAGCATTACCCTGAAGGTCAGCAGTATTTCCAAAATACCACCTGTGGCACAGATACAAGGCCTTGAGTGTGCTAATACTTAGGTTGCTAAAAAGAGAGCCAGTGGGGCAAAAACTAATTTGGAAAATGAAAGAGACTGGATTTAGTCTCTGCCCTTTGCTCAACACTTGTAAAATGTTTCGTGTTGTCTGTTTTCACAATAGAAACAAGTCTTTGAAAAATTGGCCACAATGTTACAAGTCACCCACTGGTGTCCATGCTTCTCCAGGAAGGTGCTGGACAACTTTATTCAACAAGTGATGGCTGAACTGCTATTCAACAAACTGCTCTAAAGGGCTTTGCTCAGGGTGTGCTCTCTATGCCCTTACTGTGACTTTAGACTTTAACTGCAACACCTCTGTCTCCCAATGTTTAGCAGCATTACCATTAAGGAGTTGCCTCTGTTTCTATATATAGATTCTTTAAGCAGAAGTATATCTTGAAGGAAAAGTACAAAAGACAATGGTGTGAAACAAATGGAACTCATTAAAAAATGTAAGATTGCTGACAGCCTAGGTAGCTGCACATGAAATGTACCCAGAAGTCAGACTTTTGTGGTAAAATAAATAACAGCCTTATGGGCTGTGTGTTGTAACTGTTCAGTCTCATGTTTTCCTAAGGCACGACCAAAGTTGTTTTTTACATTTATGTTTTAGCAAGTACTTTTCTAGCTGGAGAGTCATAAAAGTAGGTGGAAGTATCTGCCTAATGGCATGACAAGGAAGATAGCATTTGGACTAAAACTAAGGCCAGTAGGTGAAGAAAAATAAAATTTGTACTGGTTTTAAATTTGTACTAAGGCTACTTACTGAGTATTGGAAAAATGACAGAAGTGTTTAATACCTTTGCAAAATAAAAAGTGTCCTTTTGAAGCTGTAGCTCAGGATTTCATCTGGGATAATGTCACCTACCATGTGGTAAAAACAATCTGGATTTTATAATAATATATAAGCAAGAAAACGTCATAAAAATGCTAACTAGTGTAGAGCTACAAATGTGGTTGATATATGAATAAAGGGGTCAAATCCAGGTGTTATATTTGTGAAAAGTGATAAAATTTGTTAGAATTCAAATCTAAATTAGAACTAGCTGCCTTACAATGATATTTCACTGCCATTTTTCAGCACTTTGACTTTTGGGAGTTCTGTTACAAGTTCAAGTAAGTTAGAGCTGTTCTCAACCCTGAAATCTATTTCCTTCAAAAAAGGAAGGAGCAGGTATTCTAATAAGCTTTATGTAAATAGGATCCTGATCATTTCTCTGGGCATAACCATGGCCCCTCTGAAAACCAGAAAATGTTGCCTAATTTAAAAAGCCAGAGTATAATGACATTCATTGATAGCGTTACATAAGTTATGCTAGGAGGATGGAATATGGTAGCCAGACCACCAATGTTTGCCTCGCCATAAAAACAGTAGCAAACGTAAAGATCTGCAAAGATAAAAGGAAACAGAACAACCATCTTTAACTGTCTGGAGCTACAACATTCTACAGGTGTCCTCATAGCCTTCATGAAGGTTGCAAGATAACCGTCCCACACTGACTGGCTGTGGCCACACACAGACAAGCCAGAGCTGGGATGCGATTACCCAGTGGCAGGTCTGAGCTTGCTCATGACACTCTGACTAGCACAGAGGCAGACAGTGAACAACTACCAGAATCCCACTGATAGCTCTTTTCTTGTTGTTTTTTTGAAACCTTGGAAAACCATCCATGAGGTTACAAATATAAATCAAGGCTGACACAACTAAGTGCTGGCTCATAGCTGGCCATCTGGATATGGGGTTTTGCCAGCCTAGTTGTTTTCATTATTTAACCAAATACTAAAAAAACTATAATTCACATGCAACCCTTGCCAAAAAAAGAGGAAATGGTAAATCTCCTATGATAAGCACAAACTGTTAACCTGTTAAGAAAAGCCCAATTTTTCTAGAATTCAAGTATATATAGACATACCATGTCTGTTTCCTTTTAAACATCTTAGGGTGAGGAGAACAAATGAGATAACGACATAAGCTAAACATCCAACAAGCCCCACTCCTCATTCTCTGTGTGACTGGCAGCGTTAGTAAGAAAGCCACTCCTTTGCTGCGATGGTCATGATATATTTGAACATGTAAATCTTTAAGGATTTCCCTATTCATTTGGCCGGGCCTATGGTAGGTGTTTTTTTTTGTTTTCTTGGTGGAATAATTCATCAGTGCTTCCTGAGAGGCTCAAACAGGATCACTGGCCAGATTCCGAAGAGAAACTGTTTGGAAACAAGTTGGAACAAAATGAAAGAAGATAAAAGTTTCCATATATATTGTCCCTGAAAAAAATGAGAAAGAACCCATGGGCTATGACTATAGTGCTTGGTAGGTTTGCTCGTGGTTGTCCTGGAGGTAGTACCAGAGCACAATATATTTTTTCCAGGCTTGCAACAGATCTCAGAAACTATGCTTACTTAATTTATTTAAATGTATTAAGCATCTACTTTGTCAAGCATGGAGCTGGGCATTAAAATCATCTCATATCCTTAAAACAACTCTGCAATGTAGCTATTAACAAGTCCATTTTATTGTTGAAGAAACTAAGGCTTAAAGAGAAGAGTCTTGCCTAAGGTCACAGAGCATCTGGTTCCAAAACTTGTACTCATTCCATTACCTCTCCACCCCACCCCTTCCTCCATCCCATCTTTCCAATATCCCATCTCCCAACACACACACACACACACACACACACACACACACACACACACAC